AGCTGCACAGGCACAGGCCCCCGTTGCAGGGGTGTCTTACCTTGGGAAGGGCAGTGCAGCAGGAGGCAGGGCCGCCGGGCTGCCCCTGCTCCGGCAGGGTATGGCCAGCTCTGCTGCTCCACCATGCACAGAGAGTTTCAAAAAGAGACCGAAAAGAGCATCTGGCAGCTTCCCCCCATGCTCCCCCCTCACGGCCTGGCTGCTGAGGTTTTAAAGGAGTTGATGGAGGAAGATTTGTCCTGAGGAGGCCTGGCTGTTCCTGGGGGCTCGCAGCAAGGACAGGCACCCACAACCACCCATGCAGCACAATGCAGGACAGCAAAATGCACTGAAACCTGCCCACTTAGGGCAAAGAGTGCTTTTGTGACTGTCACTGGAACCTGCTGTCTCCAATGGGCCTGCTCAGGCTCTCTGAGGGCATTCTCCTCCTCCCCACCCCAAAAGTGTGAACAAAGGATTACCAATCGCCACACACACCTGAGGCTGTGCCAAGAACACGCAGAACTCACACCAAACTGAGGGCAGAGTGCACCAAACCAGTGCCAAACCACACCAGACTGGTGACAGGAACAGCTCTGCAGCTGGTTCTGTGCATGGGGCTCTCAGCAGTGCATGGGAGACATGCTACCCTTGGTGATCCACATCCACCAACAAAAGTCCAGGACTGGACAGGGAGCTTCAATTTTCTTCTTTCTCACTGCTAATGTCATTGTCTGACAGGACATGTTCTGGATAGCTGGGAATAATGTGAAATCAGCAAAAGCAAATGTTGCAGGGTGCAGGGTCAGATCTCTGTCCCCCTACACCTGCCTGCTCACCCCAAACTTTACTTCTTCCCCTGTATCCAGTATAGTCTCTACTGCACGTTTTTTTTGTTTAAACACCTAGAGCTTCTCCTTCAAAAGGATTAAATCAGTTTCCCACCAGCATTCAAAAATTCAGTTTCAGTGCGACAGTTTGTTATCACCTGTAAGAAACCCAAAGAAATATGGATAAGGAAGAAAAATCAAACCGATAAAAAAAGGGTGGGAAATCCCCTTATAACTATCATCAAAACAGAGGAAAAAAAGGTGGGAAAAGCAAAAAAAAAAGTCACACAGAATATATGACCATGTAAGCATGGGCACTCTTGCAGAAAACCTAGTCAGCAATCCCAAGCCAGAGGAAATGTAAATGAGAGCCAGGTCCACAGCAGTGACGGAGTCTGAACAGATACCAGGGGCTGCTCAGGTTGCGGCATGTGCTTAGCCTCGATCTCTTTGGATTTGCAAAGGAACTTTATTAGTTTTATTAATTTTTTTTCCTTAAATAATCAAGAGATTCGAGTGTATCCACACAACGCGGCGAAGAAGATTAAGATTTTTTTTCCTTTAATCAAAACATCCATATGCATGCGTTGTATCTTCGGAGGGGTAGGTGGATTCCCACTGCTGCCTGCCTCCCGCTCCGGGCGCGCTGCTCTGCTGCAGGAAATCATGCACAAACCACTCCCACCGCATTTCCATGACGGCAGGGCTGCAGCAGGCACAAGCGAGAAGAAAAGCCCCCGAAGCACAGGAGAACCCGAGCTCCGTGCTGGCCTGGGACAGCATGGCCTTGGCCTGCTCTGTGTCCCTTTGGTGTCAGTGCCCATGCACACAGCACCCAGCCCAGCCTGCTGCTAAACACACGGACTGGCCTAGAAAAATGAAAAATTTATGGTAGTCATTTTTGGTGTGACTACCAAACGGTAGGAAAAAAAAAAAAGGTAGGTAGGAAAAAAAATATGGTAAGAAAAAAAAAAAAAAAAGTTGTTGCTGCAAATCACAAAACTCCAGAACAAAAACATACTGTAGGATGCAAAGGTCACATTCAAAAGCAGCGGTCAAGGAAAAGAAGCAAAGCACAACTCACTGTACTTTGTTGTAAGCTTACACCTTTTCACCATTTAGAAACGAACTGAGGGATCTGAATAACAGGACACAGAGAAAAGAAATACAGATGTGGCCAGATTTTTTTGTAGTTTCTGCAGTGCCCCGCAGTTAAGATAAATTTAAGGTCAATGTCTAGAGGAAGCCATTTCAAACACTGATAGTTCACAAAGGGCATTTCCTTTCTGATAGGGATAAAAATTAAGTCAAATTTATTGCAGACTGCTATTTCCATTCTGACTCCACAAGCTGCAGTTACTGCCACTAAACAGAAGACTCCTTCCTATATTATTTCCTAGGGAAAAGGCAAAAATTAGATGCTTTTAAATTAATTTTCTTTTCCGTTTTAGGCATACTGTTATGTTTTCATTCACTGCATGTTCAAACATGCTTCTTTTTTTCTCCCTCTCATTTTACAAGTGCTGTTTGGAGTCAGAAGCAGCCACACAGCACAAACTTGCCAAGCCCAGAGTGCAATCATACTCACACCCAGCCTCTGAGAAAGGGGCCAGGCGAGCAAAGGACATAACAGAGAGAAGATAAATTGCTTTTTGTACCCCTTAGTGGCCGGACATCAATGCTGCAGCTCTGAAAGCTGNAGAGAGAGAGATTAGGATTGCAGCCATTCATGGAAGAAGAAATATGTTAAAAGGAAGGTTTTAATGAAGAAATGGATGAAAGACTTCCAACTACAGGAGATTAACGTTCTTATCATATAAACTCTTACTGCAAAGCACAGAGAGGGGTGGGAGGGGAGAACACTCCTCTAAAGACATGGAAACTCTGACACTGGAAATGAATTCTCTGCAATAGTGCACGGCGCAGTTTGCAACGGCTCCTTTTGCACCTTTATTAGGGAGTCCTAGACTTTAAATTAAAAAAAAAAGAGTGCAAATTATACCACAGACCTAGATTTGCTGGTTTAGCCATTTTTGAAACACCCTGGAAGCAGGCACGGTGCTGTCACCAAAACACCTCTCTCATTCCCCAGAAACCCTGAAAACAGAACTGTGCGTGTCCCAAAATATTTCAAATTAATGAGCAGAGAATATCTCTGAGAGGGTCATTTGCCAATACACATATTTTTAAAATACATTTCTTTAAAACCAAAAATTTTTACATTCATGTTTCAGCAGAGTCATTTATAGAATCACAAAAATCCCAGAATGCTTTTGGTTCCAAGAAGCCTTAAAGATCACCTTGTTCCAAACCCCTGCCATGGGCCAGGACACCTTCTCTTAGACAAGTTACATATTATTGTCCATAGGATGAGAGACACGAGCTCAATAAACAAATCACAGTTATTGTACACTAGGAACATCTATGGCTTCTCTTCCCTACAACTATTTTGATGCTGCTTTGGTTTTTCATTGCACACACATACCTACAACACAATTTATCCTAAGCCTATGTCCTTGCACAGGGATCACAGTGTGTGTTAGAAAAGGAGCAGCTAAACCAAACTTTTGTGCATCAGAGCCACTTGAATTCCATGCACCAGAATCTGGAGGAGTTTGGAGAAGGTTCTGGCCCACCAGAGCAGGAGAAGAGCAGGTGTATTTATGACCTCATATGACTGCCTTTGACTGCCCACTAAAACTGTTCATATTCCCTACACTCTACAAAACAATTGTAGCTCTGACCAGTGTCACCCATTCACACAGTGCAGGGAAATTCTAGCCCTGCTATCTGCTCTGTATGTGGCTTGCTTATTGCCAACATTCCCTATGAGCCAGGAACATTACAACGTTTGTCACAAAAACGCGGCATAACTTAGCAAAAACTGCCCCCTGGTACCAAACATCCCTTTGATTTTTAACAGCCCCCTCAGCCAGCACTGGCACACCTGAAAGGCAATTCTTAGAAACCTTAAAAAGATCTGTAAGGAGGAAAAAACAACATGAATTCCAAACATGGTGTGCTTATTAGGGCCTCTGATGCAGTGACAGAGCGCTTTACATAGAAGTCTGTGCAGCCACAAACTGAGCTAATCTATGCAAAAACACACACAGCTCCAGCAGAAGGGTATCAAACATTTATGGCCCTGAAATACGTGCTTCATCAAAGAAGGCAAAGCCCACTCCTCACCCCTTTCCTCCCAAACAGTGCAGCAGCAGAACAGCAGCACTGCTTACAGACACTCCGACAAAAATCCCCCCGAAGTCAGCCTGCAGATCAGGGTCACAGAATGCTCCATGCCATGCCAAACCTCACTCACATGCGCACCAAATAAAGTCTGGCATACATAGTTTTTTAACTTCTTTCAGAGTACGGTCTATTTCACTTCGTTTATAAACTTCCCTTCTTTATTTCTCTCTGCAGCCTTTGTCTGGGTGAAGGTTTCCCCCAGCCTGGCAGGGGGATGATGCTCCCAGCAATGGCCTTTGTGCCCAACAAGAGGAAATCGTGGCTGACCATCCAGCAGAGGCTGCAGCTGCTGGTGACACAGGGCATGCTTCACACCATGGTCATTACAGAGGCCTGCTCAGACTCTGTGGCACTGACCACCACCTTCATGGCCTTACTGCTGTAATGGGGAGGAACGTTTATCAAAACAACACAGTGTCAGACTCCAGTAGCTGGGGAGAAACCTCCCTGGGTTCAGGGCAGAATCCACATAGGAAGAGTCAGACAGCTTCAGATGAACAGCCCAAACTGTGAAGAGTGCTAAGGGGGCAGTCATCTGCTGAATTCAGGCAGGGGAAATGCTCAGGTCTGCCCTCTGCCCCTTGCCTCCTTCCTGTTATGGCTCATCCCTGTCCTGAGCTGAAAGGCCTCTGGGCAGGCACACAGCAACTTCTTATACACTCTCAGGAACACAGAATACATGGCAAGGTTGAAAAGCTCACAGTATAAACCACTCTGATATTACTTCTAAATTTCTACCAGGAAAAATGCTGTCTTTCCTTCTGCATGCCATGCTGCTGAACTAAAGGTATTGAAATGGAACAAATGACGACCATTTCATTTACCACAGCTTTGCCATGAACTCATTTGCCTTCTGTTCATCTTTCAATACTAGCATCAGCGTCACTGCAGACAAGCTGCTGTCCCCATACAAGAACCAACAGGCCAATGAAAAGCACTGACCTTTCCTGGCAGGCGTGGCACAGCCCTCGAGGTTCAGCATGATGTCCCCATCCGTGTCATCGGCACCAGCTCCCAGCAGCATCCAGCTCTCGACGTCCTCGCCGTCAGAGATGAGGCTCTCCTCCTCCTCCTCCTCCTCCTCTGAGCTGTTGTCTATCACCAGCACGTCCTGGGGGCCCTCAGGTCCGGCAGGAAGGACTGGGGCAGGCCTCCCACTAGGGCTGCTCCTCTTCCTTGGCGTGCCCACACCAGGCTCATGGTGGCACCGGGCACTGCATCCAGCAGCTTTGTTGTGATTTGGCGTGGAGGATACCGGGCACGCGTGTGCTTTACCTGGAGCTGAAGAGGAGCACCTTGACCTCTTTGCCTTGCTTTTGTAGATGCTGTCTTCCTCTGGGGTGTCAGACAGGACAATGACCTCGGGCTCATCTGAAAGCTGAGCGCCACCATCAGTGAGCTCAGTGAGATTCTCATCTTCGTCCTGTTTCCCAGCTAGCCCGGAACTTTGACCCACGACTTCTCCAGCATCAGCTTCCTCATTCATTTCCAGTGTTCTGACTTCTCCGAGATCCTGGGAATAGTGGATCTGGCTATAGAGATGAAACTCCACCTCACTGTCAACACTCCGCTCACTGGATGACTCCTCGAGATAAAGTTCATCTTCATACACTTCAGAATTCTCAGGATCATCATACCCAGTAAATATTCTGGAAAGTGAAGAGTCTAAGTCTACAAAAAATCAAATGGTTAAATCAGAATGGTCATGTGTCCAAAATAAACCTTCAAGTGATACTTTCGGACTTCTTGAAATTGGTCAGGTGAGTTGTGGAGCTCTGCACACAGACCATCAAACTGAGCAGATTTAACATCCACCTGTGCTCCAGTGCAGAACAGCAAACACTAATTAAAGATGCATTTGCATTAACCATAACTATTAATTCAGCCCAACTGCTTTGGCCTCTGAAAGGAGCAATTACTGAGTTCTCTGCCACACCAGGGAGGTCATCAGGCCACACACACTTTGCTGAGAACCCCTCCAGACTGGAGTGAGCGCAACAAGGAGCCACTAAAACCATTAAGGGATTGGAACATGTGTCCTGGAAGGTCAAGCTGGGACTGCTAGTGCACAGGGAGGGGAAGCTCAGAAGGATTTATTCACACTCACAAACACCTGGGGTACGGGGAATAAACAAGACAGAACCACCACAGACCAGCCCAGCAAGAACTTGAAAGGGAATGGCCACAAAATAACAAAAAACAGGGATTTCCACTTAAACGTAACTCTGTTGCTCTGGAGCCTCCATTCTCGAGGACCTCAGCTAGGCACAGCCCTGAGCAAGCAGCTCCAGGTCGGTCTGCTTTAAATCAGGGCTGAAACTGCCAGAGGCTCCTTCTCAGCCCAGCTGTCCTGTGATGCCAGCCCAAGGGCGAGTGTGCTCACAGCTCACAGCCTGCTCCCCTGCAAGCCTGGTAGTACAGGGATGTGGCAAAGTCACCCTGCATCCCTGAGACTGCCTCACTCTGAGCTCATGACCACACCAAACACGGGGTACAGGACATGGGACACTTTAGTGAGCTCCAAAACAGAACCCAAGTACTCCTTCCTCCCCTTCTGTCCCCAGTGGATAAAGTGACACGCAGTGAGCAGTGACCACTGCTAAAAATTTGCAGCTGAACTGCCCTGGTGCCTCCCAGGCACCGAGGGAGCTGACTCACGGGCAGCCAGCACTGCACTCACTCTGATCCATCCTGCTCAGCAGGTCCAAGCACAGCTCCTCCTGCTCTCAGCTCCACACGTGCTGCGGCGATGAAGGGCTCCTCCTCTTCCTCTTGCTCAACACCTGGGAAACAAGCAACACCCAACATCAGCACCACCACAACCCCGAGCCCCTGCTGCCCACCATCCTCACGCTCAGGCCACAGCCGTGCCCTTCCTCGTCAGGAAAGACAAACAGCAAAGCAGACACACACAGCTTGAAGGACAGGGAAGAGAAGCTCAACAAAGTCCTGCTGTTTTCCAGCCTGGCAAGCTGAAGCAGTCTCTCACTGAGTTCATACAGGTAACTCAGAGAAGGACCTGACTGCAACTCCACATTTCCTTTTGCCAGTGAAAAGTTTAGGCTATGGGCAAACGTTCCTTTCCACAGAACCACAGCAGGGTTTTGGCTGGAAGGGACCCCCAGGGTCCCTGTTTCTCAGCTGTGCCACACCTATCTTCACAGAAACACAGAATGATGAGGCTGGAAGAGATCTCCAAGATCATCCAGTCCAACCTGTGCCCCAACACCTCAACTAGCCTATAGCACCCAGTGCCATGTCCAGGCCTTTTTAAACACACACAGAGATGGTGTGTCAAAGGGAGGTGCCACTGGCAACTCGAGGCAGGGAGGAAGAGCAAGGCCAACACTCAAGAAATAACAAACAAGTTAATCAGAACCCTCATCCAAAATCCCAAAGCGGGTTTGGGGTGCTCAGGGCTCACCCCTCTGCAGAAGGGACTCTGAAGGAAGAGGCTCAGGGCAGTCCTCCTCGTGCCATTCCTGCTCACCTGCCTCGACTCTCCCTGTCCTGCTGCTCCTGCTTTCCCAGCTTCCAACAGCTCCCAGAGCTCCTCGTGCCCAACTTCAAACACTGACATTTCCTAAAAACTTCTAAATGCAAGCCCAAACACAGATTACTTCTTCCGCTGCACGTGGCTTTTCAGACAAGTGCCCTGCTCCCACCACACCCCATCAGCGAGCTCCAAACATCTCCTCATTGATCATTGTCAATGATCATTGATCTCCACTGTCAAATCTAACCCTTTTTGATAGCTGAGAACAGAGAAGCAAACATGCTCTCTGCAGCCTTGGAAGGCAAAACACACCCCTGTTGTCAGGCTGTTACAGACTGCGACAACAAAATGGGAAAAAAAAATATGGGAAAGGGAAAAAAAAGGATTTCCTTCCAAGGAAAACACCATGCTGCCTTATCTAATCACGGGGTCAGACACCAGGAGAGTAGGAGCCAGCTTTAATTTAGTTCCATTTGTGGGTACATAGACTGCCTGATGCTTCAGACTGCTCAGACACTGCAGGAGCACAGACAGTGTGAAACTGACAAGGAATTTAAACCTTCCAGAGCATGTGAATGAAACATTTCACTGCAGCTGCTGTGGCTGCTTGTGCACCCTGCATTGCCTGGATTCCATGAGCAAATCATCACCATGAAGCTCATGACTCCAATGGAAATCACACCTGGGAAGGTATGAAAATGTCAAACCTAAAAGTATTTTATGAAAACCTGACCAAAGATATATTTATTCACAGAGGCCAGTGTCAGGAGACTGTTTTTCTTCCCCTGCTCTGTTTCTGTGCCTGATGTGATTCTAACCCGGCTGTGCCTCACCACGTGGCTCTCAGAGCAGGTGAGAAAGGCACAGCCCTCACCTGCTGCCCAGGTGAGGCTGCAGCCGCAGTCACCTGTGGCTGCCCTACCTGCAGAGGAACATGGAAAAGGGTCAGGAGGTGGGCTGGGCGCTGCCTCTGCCCCCATTTTCTGTGATCTAACAGAGATTTTTGGCTAAATACTGAGATGCAAACCCCATGTTTGTCCCATTTGCTGTTTGAGGAGACACAACTGCTCTGGACTTTCTTTAAATGAGGTGCAAAGAGAGAAGCAAAGCTCTGGAGAAGAAGACAGCATTTTCTAGTGTCAGCTATACCTTCAAGAGATCACGGGAATATCTCTTCCACGCCTGAACCCTGGAAAACAACAAAACATTTCACGTTCACTTCAAGCCTTTCTAAAGATTATTTTTTTCCCCACAGGCACTTTGAGGACCACGTTTAAGAGTAACATGCTTTTCCTGGCGTTCTAGGATTCCACGTGTCTGGGGAGCGGAAACAGATGGGAACTGGGGATCCCGGGCAAGGCGAGGAACATCCCAAGGGAAAGGGAGGAACGCACACCCCAGCACCGGCGGCGCAGCGTGTCGGGCACAGCA